TCAGTCAAGGAAAATACTAATTTTTCTCCCTCGCAGAAGAAAAAACCTACAAAGGATAGTATCTCTAAATCAGAGCTTAATCGCTCAAATATTATCAAAGTCTGTAACACCCCTGGTGTTATGGATATCAAAAATAAAAACGATTTTATTTTTGCATACGTATTGTTCAATCTTGTCTGTTGCTGGTTCACCAGTATAGGAGGATAGATGAAAACTATAACGTATGGAACCTATAACAAGGTCAATCTATATCCAAGAGCCCCAGCATATTGGGTTCGTACTCCTTTTGAAATGGGAAATATAATATGTATTTACCCATCAGAATCATTAAAAGAAATTTCTATGCTGCCAAAGGATGTTGTCCTAACTATTGAACGATATTGTCAAGTTCTTAAACAAAAGAACATATATATCAGGTTTTTCTCTACAGGTCCCGAATGGGATAATGAAGAAGATAGGCTATTGCCAGTTAGCCATGTCATAAGGATTGCCACTATTTCCAAGCATCTTCAGCCTGAGAAGAGTGAAGTCCATGAAACTACACCAAGGAATCTTTAAAAGAAATTTTTTTGTTACCAAAAGAAGTAATCGAAGCTATTGAAAGGTATTGCCAAGTTCTTAAACATAAGAACATATATATCAGGTTTTTCTCTACAGGTCCCGAATGGGATAATGAAGAAGATAAGCTGATGCCAATTAGCCATGTCATAAGAATTGCCACTACTTCCAAGCATCTTTAGTCTGAGAAGCGTGAAGTCCATGAAAGTACACCAGAAGATGTCATCAATATGACAGCCTTCCATAGAGTCAGGGATACAATGAGCAGTTCGAGCATATCCAAAAGGTTATTAAAGAAAATCAGAAAATTTGGGTGTAGGAGGCACAAGACCACATGATTTACAGCAAAGCTGTAACAAGAAGATTGGCACTATCTCGATACATGTTGTGATTAAATTTTTGAAGGAAACGCCAATGGAACAAAGAAAACAAAAGATGAGTTGTGCAAACAGTTTTGGCGTTATCATAATCACAAATGCACATGCTAGCACTGAAGGCGGTGTCTCACCAATCTCCCTTGATCTAAAGGAATTTCCAGATGAGTGGTTTGAGTCACATATAGAAAAGTAATGGACCCCTTTATCACTACTTTATCAAAATCACTCTAATGAAGAAAAACTGTGGGTTTCACCTCAATAATTTTTCATATTACGACAAGAGAACTTTAGGCCACAGTAAGATACCAAATATCTTACACAGTTAAAGCAATAATGAAGGACAGTTGTGGACCCTTTCTAGTCTATAAATTGAAGACTAATTCTCAGAATAACACAACAATTTCTAAGCAAAAACTTATCTTTCTGCCTAGTATTCAAAATCTTGTAACAATTTCGTTTTCTCTCTTTCAAGTGAAGCGTGTAATAAGGTAATCTCTATGGAGTTCTAATCTCTTTAGAGATAGTACCAAGTGTGTAGCCGAAGTATGTTTGTATACTCTTATTGAAGAGATATTAATGTGATGTGTTTATGAAATTAAAGTTGTTTGAAGATACTGTCTTCTATCCTTGTTATTTTCTCAAAAACTCTTATCTTACTTATACTCCAACGGTGAAAACATTGAGGGTAAGTGCAAGTATCTTGTTGCCGTGTGTAGGCATTTGAGGCATTGTTAGAGAAAGCCATGNGCAAGCTCGAGGGAAATCTCATTGATATTACTCTGCATTTACCTGCTGCTTCAATACTGTAAGATCTTTCTTATTTATGTCAAATTCTTGCATTAATATTTGCATTCCTGCTATTTATGAAGTTTTAGTTACTTTTGTTAGAAAATTAGAAATTAACTGTGAAAGAAAAAGAGAAGAGATTAAACTATTTTATACTGTGCTTGATTATTTTCTTAAAAATAATAAAAATATACATGTGCCTTTATATTGGAAAGAAAATATAGGTTCAAATTTGATTCCACAAAAACATTTTCGATCTACCTCTTTACTTACTTTGCGGTTCAAGTGACCTCTGAAGCTAGAAGCAACTTAAGATGTTTTATTCACGTTAGATTAATTCTCATAGAAATGTATTCTTTTGAATTTGTAACCTTTCTTTATAATAATTGAAATTTTATAATTTCTTTTGTATATTTGTTTGCTATATTATGTTTGAATTGATTAAAGACTTTGCGATATCATAACAAGTAGGTTTTGCTTGACAATTATCTTGAGAATTTAACATTGTCAAATCTATTTTTTATTGATAATATTTTTTCAAATACATGCCAATCCCGGGGTGTTTAAGGAATTCGCCATTTTCATCTGCGAGCTTATACGTTCCTAGCCCAATTACTTCAACAATGGCGGTGGTGGTGTTTGCGGTCAATTGTAGTTGTATTTCTATCAATGGAGCATAGTAGATCATATTGCTAAGTATTGCAGCCTTAAATACAACAGCTAGGTTTCTATTTGATTTCATCTTAGGTTGTGGTTGTGGTGGTTAAAGCTGTGGTAGTGTGGTAGTGTGATAGTGCTGGTGCTGGTGGCAGTGGGATGGAGTGAAGTGTATGTGACCAAATTGTGACTAGTAAATTGATTAATTTGTTACCTAAACAATGAGACTGTAACTCACAATTTATTCAGTTGTAACTCGTGACTAATTAATTTGATATTTTATGACCGTAAAATAATTTGTGATTTATAACCAATAACTTGTGACAAATAAATAATATGTGACATAAAAATTTGCTGTAAAGAGGTGGTGGTGGTGGTCTTACGACATTGGTTTCGACTGTTGACAGTGATGTGGTGGTGGTCACAAGCGTTGGTGGTGGTCACGAATGATTTGGTTGCATGTGACCAATAAATTGGTTGGTGTGTAATCAATAAAATAGATAAATTGTGTCCTAAATATAATTTGTGATCAATTAATTTAATTATTTTGTAACCATGAAATAAGTCATGACTTATAAAATTTATGATTTGTGACCAATAAATAATATGTGATTATTAATTTGATAGATATGTGACTGATGAATAAATTGTGACATACAAATTTTTGATTTGTGAACGATGAACAAATTATGACCTATGAAATTTTTGAATTGTGACCGTAAAATAATTTGTGACATATAAAAATTGTGATTTGTGACCAATTATATGGAATTTGTAACCAAATTTTATGAAATTGTGACATTAATATATTTAATTAATAAAATATATGTGTTAATTAATTAATTTATAAACAAAAGAAAATAAAAATATGATATTTGAAATTTAAAATTTAGTTTCTTAAATTTGAAATTGGTGAAACTTAACCTCTTAGTTATGAAATCCTCCCTTTTTTCACCCTTTTGAATTTTTGTTAGTAGTCTCTGACTACTGTGTACTCAATTTTATCCAATGCTATTAAAATTGGCCGGCCGCAATAAATTGGTGACTTGAACCCTTGAGCAGGCCGAGCTTGGCTGGGCAATATCGTATTATGTAAATGTAAGTGGCCCGGTCAAATATTGGATTTGACCAGGTCAACTAGCGGGTTTTATTTAAATATCGGGCCGAACAAGCCCATTTTTTAATCAAATTTCAAAATTTTTCTCTTTTGAAATGTTAAGGGACCAAAGAATTGAACACTTTTGACCTCTAGCTAAATAGAACGTAACCTTAACATCAAAGCAAACAACACTTTTGTTGTCTTGTTGTGTAATAAACTAGATCTAACCTATGAATAATTCAATGTCTTCTGGAAATGTTTTTAAAAAGATTAGTCCAACATTTTCATTCATTTTGTAATATCAAATAATTATTTTATATACTTATTTTTGTTTGAAAAAACTAATTTTAACTAAAATAAATTGAAGATATAATAAACATAATTTTTGGTCAATAACTAATAAATGAATTGTATATCACAAGAAGGGAAAATATAATATACAGAATTACAAAATCAAAATGTAACCATTTTCACTAATAATGAGTTCAAAAAATCATTAATTTAAAGGTATAAAAATAATTAGTGACAAATAACTTGAAAACTTTAATCTTGTCTCAAACCAAAAAAAAAAAATTATTATACCTTAAAATATTTTAAGCAATGACGAACTAGTCTGACCAATAACTCAATAGTACATTGTTCGAGTCAATATTCCTTCTGTTTGATTCATTGTCTCTTTGCCGGATGTAATGATGAAATTGATTGAATCGCCACTTCAATTAAAGAATTTCAAGATATTCTCTAAATATAATATGCTCTCTCTATTTTAAAGAAGCAACGTTTAAATCATGTTTCAAGAAACTCTTTAAATTAACATTTTAATTTAGAGAGTGGATTTGGCTGTCCAAATTCAAAGTATTTTAATTTTCAATGTAGAAAAATAATAAAATAATATAAAGAAAATCTAGTTAAAATAACTATTTTTTATGAGTAGTAAAATTAAGTATTAAATATAAAGAATTTGTTGTAGTACTTCAAAATTTTAACTCTCTAAATTTATAGATACTCTCAAAATGATAGAATATGCTTCTCTTGGAGATGCTCTTAAAATGTAACAATAATAGTGTTGGTCTCCATTGCACAAAATATAACTTTTAGATTGTTGAAAAACAATCGAGATTTGAGAGGATGAAGGAGAGCAAAACATAAACGCCAAACATCAAATTGACGTAGGACTGGAACAAAGAACATGAACCCAAATAAGAGGAAAGCTTGAAACACCTTTCAAATATGTTCATGAGAAACTTGAACGCCAACAACTTAGTAACTTAGTTTAAGATTGGTAGATACATGGCAAACCCCTTTCATATTTGATGTAAATTTAAAGTAGATAAAAAAACATGTTAAAGTCAGCGCAAACACACATTTTATGGAGCTTACAACTTTTCTGTGGACCTTTTATCAAAATCTACTAAAATTTAATTTTAATGTACCGAGAAATTCCCTAAGAAATTTCTTCCAGCAATTCAAATTCATGCAAATACATTACCAACTTATGTACAAATGTAGAAACCTATATAGAATCATTGTTGAATCAATTCTGGAATGAGCTTAAGCAAAAATGCCAATTCCGTTTGTGAAAATTGAGGTTTTCCCTGTCCTGGAATTTGTTCCTCAGATGGCTTCACCAAACTAGAAACAAAGTCCGTTATTTCTCGAACCAAATCCACAATCACTCCATCGATGCCCATTAAATGTTGCACATACACGGCTTCAGGCACATTGCTGAGATATATAAATTATCAGTTAGTATTCCAACATTTCAAATCATAACAATAATTGTTATTATAAATTAACAATTACTTACTTTAATTTTCCATATGTCAAGAGAGAGAGCTTTGACTCTTTGATCTTTTTCACTGTCTCTGGATTTCTAAAGATGCCTCGGACTTCCGAAACAATTCCCTGCAAACCACCCTCTAAGCATAGCTTGATGGCCGCCTCCAATGAATTCCTTCTTACATCATAGTAAATCTCATTTCCTCCATTTGTCAGGAAAAATACCTACCAGGTTGAATAAGCTAGCTATGGTAAGGATCTAAACTGTTTCAATAACACACCAATAGCCATCATAAATCGACTAAGACGAGAATATTAATGGCCCTGTCAACCATAGATGGATCCGATAATGTTATTCATACACAGCGACTACATTAATCATTCAGCGTGGCATCTTCCGTAGCATAACTTTTAATAATGGTATGCCACATATAATGACTACTACATCACCGATTATTAATAGCACATTTTTTAAATTATTAAAATTATGCTATATGCTGTAGTCGCTGACTATGAATAAGACTACTCTTACAGATCCAGAAAACACTCGAAGTCACAATTTACAATACAATTAATAACATAGAAGAATACTCACAGGGTAAGTGTTCTGAAGTTTCTTGACAAGCAGAGCAGCATCTGGTTGAAACGACGAAAAGATAATAGGTCTATCCTTGGCATTTTCAAATACGACTCGCAAAATCCATTGTAGTACATCGATTAGATATTCTTCTTGATAAACAACGTGATCATCAAACTTCAATTCGATGTTGAATCCGAGACGAGGATTGACTTTCTGAAAGGCTTCTTGTAGCGTGCAGGAAGCATCATCAGCTTCAACATTCCAATCAATAATCTTCCCATCCTTTGTTTTCCTTAACAGAGTTTTGACTACCAAGGACGATTCTCTTTGGAGCCCGTAGCTGAGGAATTCGGATAGAGTTAAATCTGTCACTCTCTTTTCATATACCACACCCTGAACATTTACAATTCCAAAACTCTCAGAACCAAATATTTTTTTTATCAGAGAGGGAGTGAGGGTTTAGTACATCAAAACTTACGTTTTCTTCGGATAAAATGAAGTTGTCGTGAAAGATGATCGGACAGCCATCTTTGGTCACCTACAAGAATCGAATCGAATGGGATCTTCAATCTTTAATGGAAATATTTCTATCCTGTAAATTGAGTTTCCAATTAAGTAGATAAAAATGATGACGACAAAAAATTCATGTCCTTTTCTGGGAATTTTCCAAGAAAACCCGGTTTGGCGCATGCGGCGAACAGTCAAATGTGTTCATTTCATTTTGAACAGGGAAAATTCTACCCAGGTAAAATTAAAAAGTTTATTTACCTGAACGTCAAACTCAATGAAATCAACGGGAAAATTTCCGGCGGTATTGAATGAGAGAATTGTGTTCTCTTTAACGGCTTTCATTCTCCGATCGGTGGACTGCAATAAATTCATCCCATTTCCCCGGTGCCCAATCACCAGAAATTTCGGTGGCTTAAAGAAACCTTTTCCAACTTCCGCTCCTGAATCACACGCAGCAAAAAAAGTTCAAAAAATAAAATCCCATGAAATAAAAACATAAATTAAAAATAAAAATAAAAAAATCTACGTACCTTTGGAATATCTTGTAGAGTAAAGGGAAAAAGATGGATTTTCCGTGACATGATCAAAATTTGGGACGTCGGAAACATGAACAGCCTTGAGAGCCATTGTTAAAGAGGGACGGAAAACAGAGTGTTCAGGAGGAGAGTATACGATTGGAATTCTTGAATTGTTGAGGAAGAATGGATTTGGGAGAGGGCATTTAAGCAGCATTGGATTGGATCAACAAGAAAATGGTAGTGGAATATTCCTTTACCTAAACTCGTCATATGCTTTTGGATATTCTTCTACTGTTTATTTTCTAATTTAACCATCCCATCCTCCGTAATTTTCCCTTGAAGTCATTCACAATTTATAGATTTATTTTTGGTTGACCGTACAATCTATTTTAGCCGTCGTTTGATAGCTTAAAATATTTTAGTGCTTATAAGTTGTAAGTGATACTTAATTCATATTTGGTTGTTTATTAGGTTATGAATTCGGAACGATAATAGCAAATATAAATATAATGATCAAGTTGAATAAAAATATAAAATTGAGCACTTCAATTGACACAATTGAAGTCAGGTGACCAACGTAAAATAAACCTATAAATTGAGTGAAATGAATGCAATTCTATTTTTATCTAGGATTGCTGTTCCAATTTCCACCGCCTAATGCGCGTCTTGCAATATTTTAAAACGTGTGTAAGTTGTAAAAGTTTTAATAGGACAGTCCGTCAATTTCTTCTAGATCATCAACAGAATATGCTTTGGAATATCTAATACTTATGTAAGAATTTTTAAAGGTGGACGTGATTCCATTTGTTCTGATTTTAAGAGAACCGATTTGAACCACGAATCAATGATTTTTTTGATAATAGAAATAAATAGTTTTTTTAAAGATGCGAAACCGAATCGAACTAAACCATTTTGTTCTAGTACTATTGCTTAAATTTTCAAACTTGCATAAGAAAAAAATATTTGTAGTGTACTTTAACTTCTTCTTTTTTTTCAAAATGACTTATATCACAATTCAATAAAAATATTGTCTGACTAGAATCGTTAATTAATATGTATAAAGTTGCACAAAAAACTATGAAAGAAAAGAAAGATGTCCAGTAAATTATGATATTTTTTACTATACCCTTGATGGCTTGGAGGAACAGCAAATGGTGGCAACAAAGTTGGAGTTTCCACACAGAAAAGCTGCGTTGTTTGAGGTTTGAGGAATTAGGAATTTAGGAAGGCATCTGGAGGTGTTTAAGACTTTGAGGGTTTGAATTTGAAATAATGCATTGAAGTGATGTTTAAACACAAATATTGAATACAATTAAAATTAATGGGCTAAACACGTTTTATGGGCTGTACCAAAATAATAGCTAGTGAGCTAGTTTCAATTAACATAAAATCAAATTCATACAAAAAAATAAAATTATAAATTAAGTTTGGTTTTCGATTTGGTTCTGGTTCTAGAATCGGAACCGAACCAAAACTATAACCAAATGATTTTTTGTTCGAAGAACTAAAACTATTAATTTTTTTGTAGAACTGAATCCAACCGCTTTGTTTGGTTTGATTCTGGTTTGGTTTGGTTGGACATTTTGTCCACCCGTAAGAATTTTAGCATCTGTTTGTTCCAACTTCTTTCCTCATTAATAGAAAAAAAGGACCCTTATTTTCAAAGTTGATGGGTCTCAACAAGACACAAATGATCAAAAATGGTAGGCAGAGCCATTGTTCCAACAGTTTTTTTTCTTCTACTAATGATCAACAAACAGATGCTTAGATATCAACTTAACGCCTCTAATTATAATACAACTGTCATACTATATGAATATCCTTATATACTAGATATCCTTATATTGATTTCGATCAATGTTTTGATATAATTCATATCTTATCTATTTTTCGAATAAAGAAACAAATCAAATTACACTCTACATTTCTAAAATAATAATTAATACATATAAAATCAAATCGATGTGTCGCGTCTACCTAACTTAAGTTGTCAGTAAATTGGGTTCATACAGAAAGTTGAAGTTAAAGAACTCAACACTTTGTTATAAGCATATCTTACAAGGTAAAATTCGTCTTTGAAGACAACACTGTTAGGAATTTACAGTGATATTCAACGGTCCAGAATACATATTAACATGTTCATAAAGCACAATAACAAGAATACTGAAGTCACATAACAGAAGAGCAAAGAAAACCGAAATATACTTCCCTTTCGTCGAATGAACATAGGCTTAGGAACAGCCTCTTCCAAACTTGCAAATCGCCATCCAAAGAGAGTTATAGAGTCGGCCAGAATCATTCAATATGTGGCTTGGATCATTCATCTACCATAAGCAGCCAACATTCAAGCCCTAGACCCAATCTAACCCTTGCGAGAAGTCAACTCTCATTAGCTACTATTTCAAGCATAAATGTTACACAAGATTCTCTCAACAAGAAGCTAGGAAAGAGTGAAGAGACGAACTCAACAAAGAAGGAAGAAAGCAGTGTCTCAAGGAAGGAAGCCACGAAAAAGGAAGAATGAAGCCCAAAGGTCAAGCCAAAGGAAATATCTCATCCAAGATTAAGCCCCAACCGTAGATCACATCCAAGGGCTAGGAATGGTCCTAAACTAGCACAATTCAAGTGACACACTTAGCTACCAATAAGTGCAAGACACTTAAGCAGCTCAAGAATAATAATAATAGACGACAATACAAAATGTCACAAATAGCACTAGCCCAATAAGTTAGTGGACCACAAACACTTTTAATAAATATTCCTACAAGGTCGTACATTTGAAGTTTGAGTTCTCTCCAATAATCGACATGTATACAATCACGTCGCACATTGTCATATGGGAATGGAATGGAACACGTTCTAATATTTTGGAAATTTCTTTGGAAATATAAGTTAGATTAAATTGGTGCACGATTAGCAAAATACTCTCCATCCAAATCTAGCTTTAAAGCCGTGCCAAAGACACCCTTGAATATCTCGTAAATAAATTTTCTACTCAAAATAGGAAAAAAAACAATAATAATAAAATAGATATTGTGAAAACGGATAAGAATTGGCAAATGAGAGATGGACGACAAAATGAACGGACACGGATTCGAAATGGTGGAGTCTGTCTGTCTTGCCAATTATTTATTTTATCTGTTCGATGTTGACGTGGATCCACTACGATTTACAACTGGTTGGTTTTATCTGTTTGGTTTGTTCTAACCAAACTCAATATTAGTGGACCAAACAATAAGTCACCCCTGACATTGAAAATTATTTTTTTGAAAAATGTTAATTTTATTCAGTTTTCCAAAAAGAAAAAAAAAGGGAAAGAAAAGAAAAGAAGTTACGTGAACAATGTGAGGAAATATTATTTAAAAAAAAGATTATATCTTTTTAATTATTTCATGTAATAAATGTATATGTGTGTAGCCTAGATTTTTCATGATATTTGTTGAGAATTATTATTTTTCTTAAGAGGTGTAAATTTTAAAGAAAATAATTTATTTATTTTTAAAAAAGTTCTTATCCTACATAAATAAAAGAGTCACCTTTTTTTACTGTTCATAAGTCGAGTCAAGCCAAATGGCTTGACAGCTCGGCTCGACTCTTTTTTTTTTAACATTTGATTCAATGTTTTAAGTTACAAATATTAGTTTTAAGAAATTTCAAATTTGTTAGAAATGTTGAAGTGCTGCCGCCATGATAAATATATGATCGATAAATTTTAAATATCAAAAATAATTTTACATTAATTGTGAAACGTACAATTCCAACCACATTCCAATGCCATTTTTTCGAATTTTATTTTTCTACAATTTTTTGTTTGATTCGATATTTCACGATATGAATATCCATTTGGATTGATTTAATTTTTTTAAAAACTTAAAATGTGATAATAATAAATATATTGTCTATTAAGTTTAAATATAATTAATTAGTCTTGACTACATACGTCATGCATAGGGTGTTGGTAAAGAAATTAAATACTGGTGCAATTGATACATGTAATTGGAGATTTTATGAGCACAAGATGAGCGAGAATAATGCATTACCTCAATAAGTAGAAAAATGAGGGCTATGTTGAACTTCATTATCTCTTTAGAAAAGTATCAACACCTAATCATATATACTCTATCTTTTTTAAAAAGAGTAGAGAGACTTTCTAACGCAAAATTTAGAAAACAAGCTTTGAATTAAATCTCTTGTACTAGGGTAAGGAAAGAAATGATTATTCAAATCTTTTGTGTAACTCTACATATTCTACTTACCTTCTTGTAGATTTCATGGCATGCACATTTTTCTCACTAAATTTATGATTTATATCTCAACTAAAGCATGATTCTTTTACTTGTATACGCGATCATGAAATATGTTATGTCACCTTGGTAATAATGTAAGCATGATACGTTAGGCTTCATTCTTGGGTGGACAGATGATTTGTCCCCATAGGGACCATAATAGAACTGTACTATGATACATAGAAGATTGACGTGGATGATATTATTTATTTTTTTCATAAAGATGAGGAGTTTAAGACTAAGTATCAAGAACTCCTCGATTTGCCAAAATAAAATTTTGAGGACGAAATATTTTAAGGTGGAGAGTTTGTAATGTCCCGAAAATTTTATACACAAAATTATTTATTTTATCGGCTATATTTTTATGATTTTGAAAAGTTAATGGACCAATGTAAAATAGTATTAAAGCTAATATTATTTTGGGTTAAATAATTAATTATTGATAAAGTAATGATTAGTATATCAATATTGGACTCTTTCCGTAACTTGTAACTATATAGAAGTTTTCAACTCGAAAAATAGTTATTTCGTATAAGTCCAAATTATTTCAATTCAAAGATCGTATTTAATGGGTATTATTTTATTAACATTTAGGATAATTAGGAAAAGAATATATATCAATGTTTATCTTTAAGTTGAAAAATATATGATATGTCTTATTTGTTATTTCATTTTAACCACTGAATTCAATTTGTGCACGTGAATTTGAACCATTTTGTATATATGTTTGTTATTTTACACATTATTTATTAGTTGGATAAATCGACTCATTATCTCTCGTGTTCTCACTAACTTCTAACCACCACATTATCACATAAACACACGTTTCTTTTCCCCATTACAAATATCTCTTAATTTATCCGGTTTTGCTAGGGGTATATCACCCCTTACACAAGGGACAACATAATGGTCAAGTGGAGCCTCCTCA